GGGCTTCGGGCGCCGCCTCCGGCCCGAAGCCCCGCGCCTCGGAGGTGCTGACGCGGCACCTGCTGCAGCGGCGCCTGCCGCACTGGACCTCCTTCTGCGTCCCCTACAGCGCCGTCCGCAACGACCAGTTCGGCCTCTCGCACTTCAACTGGCGCGTGCAGGGCGCCAACTACCACGTCTTGCGCACCGGCTGTTTCCCCTTCATCAAGTACCACTGCTCCAAGGCCCCTTGGCAGGACCTGGCTGGGCAGAACCGGTTCTTCACGGTGCTCAAGGTCATCAACCTCGGTGAGTGGCCCGGGCCGGGCGACCCCGGCCCCGGCCAGTGCCGCGCGGAGGAGAGGGTCGCGCCCGCCCCAGCGAAGCAGGATCCGCCATGAGGCCCACGACGCGTAGAGTAACGCCCACTGTTTACAAAGCACGCTGACAAACGTTATGGCACCGAGGCCGAAGCCTCGGGCCCAGGTCAGGCGACGGCCCGGCCCGGCCGCGCGCAGGCTCGCCCGGGACACTCCGCACGTGATGTTCGGCCTCCGAGGCAGGCTCCCCCGTCCCCACCCACCGTGCCAGCCTCGCAGGACGAGGCTTTGACTTTAGTCTTTTGTATCCTCATGCCTTCGCCTGGCGATTAGCTGTTTGGGTTAAATTGTTGACTACTGAACTGTCCCCCTCTTTTACCCACCAAACTGGGGTGTATCCGCAGATTGTCCCGAGGGACCACCCTGCATCGCCTCGGGGGAGGGCCATTCCACTCTCACTTCCTGTTAACTGGGGAGGCCCCAGCATTGGAGAGTAAGCAGAAGCCAACATCCCCACTGGAAAGTTATGTATCACTGCATGGCAGGATTCGTTCCCCTGAACATCACTTTGTGGGGTTAAGTTTCTTTGTTTTCTTTATATGAAATCCCAGCAAGTTCGTTTTACTAAAAGCACTAAAGGTTTTCACCAGACACATAGCTTCTTCAGATGTTAGGCCTAAAAGATGTTTAGAAGACTCTCCCTCTTTAATGTGTGTATGCTTTCATGGAAATATTCTGATTCTGAGAGAACTCTTGCAGGATTATTTATTTTCTTCTGGTTTAATAACAGAAGAGGCATGAACATTGACATGGGTGTATCATTTATAGGTCAGTGAAAAATACAGAAGCCTCGAGATGTTTTGATATCAGATTAATCCACATTTCACTAATTCCAAATCTAGACATGGGGGCTGGAGTATGTTACTCAGCCTTTTTTTTTTTTTAAACCAGAATTAAAACTAAACTCCTGTGCAGCTGTACTAGTATTACTACCTAATCTGATAGCTGGTTAACATAAATGTCATATGTGTATTTTTGTTTCTAACGACTCACATGTGTCATTCATGGGTGTTTTCAGGCAGTGCCCCACTGGGGCTGTCCAGGGTTTAATCCAGTATGGAGAAGATTTCTTAACAATATTTTCAAAAGGTCTGTTATCATTTGCCTGGTGGACTATATAGAACATACCAACTAATTTTGAGGTAAATGTAGAGTTGAGGGGTGAGGTGACTTAGAAAATCCACTTAAAATTATTTGGACAGACTGGAGTGATGAATAGATTCAAGAAGAATAAGTTTGTTTTAGCATTTTCAGCAGAAGTGATAGATTCGGAAAAATTTAATAGAGGGTTATAGGTAAACCATGAACCGAATGTTTTTTAAAAAAGTTGTCACCATTTAAAACCTGACACTTTAAGAACATCTTAATGATTAGGGGCTTCTCTTTTAAATATAGATGTGAAGGGCGGGGGGAGGAGGGAGGTAGGATACCCAGAATGTTCTCCCATGTAGAAAAGTAAAACCTTTTAAGGAGAGAAACAACAGTTATAGCTTTTTATGTGGAAAAGAAGGCCGAAGAGTGATTAACTGGTCTTTATGGTAACTAACTGTATGCCTTTGGAAAATCAAACAATCTTGCTTAAATGGGAATAAGTGTTTTTTAAGTTAAACAAAAAGGAAAACTTTCTGCTCATGAATGTTTTCATACAAATTGGCTTATACTGATAAGGGGAATTTTTTTCTGGACTTTTTAAAGAGTGTTGTATTCACCAATTTGGTACTGTTTAATTTTGTCTGAAGATAGTGTGAATTAGATGAGAAAATCCTTTCCTATTCAGTGATGTATAATTGTACCCCTGGATCGTCAAATACATACTATGTTAATACGAATATTTATGATTTTATTCCTCTTCTTCCCTTCCAAATTAGTAATTATCAGAGTAATTCATTTTTCCATTTTAAAAATAATAAACATTTATTTTACCCATTTGTTCCCTTTCTCCTCTGCCCTTCCCTTCAAGAGAAACTGACATTCTACTGATGGTTTATCAGACTGGGTATCCTGCTGGGAAGTAGATTGAGATTTAAGAAAAGCAACTCACCATTGGAATGAATGGGTAATGGGGACTTGCTATGGGAAGTTCTGTTTTAAGTGCTTAATTTGACAGTGGTTTACCTACTGTTCAACTGAGTCAAAATGAATTATGCATAGAACTGACTTTCAATTTCATTTTGATGTTATGATATGTTTCAGTCTGGGAAAAAAATTAATTTTTCAGGGGATTTTATAGACTTTATAGTGTACTGCTACAGATAAAGAAGGTTATGGTTTTTTTTTTTTAATGTATAGGTTATATAGGTGGTAAATCTTCCCATTTAGTGTATTAGTCTGACTCAATTAAATAGATGGCAAGAAAAAAAGGAATATAGACTTCCTGACTCCTATATCAGAACTCCATCCACTGGAAACAGCGGTATTGATAACGGTTCCTCGTTTTCTTAAGAGATAATGTAGTTACTATTAAGCTAGTAATCTTTGATCAGCACTCCCATTTTAGTTTAAAAATATTAGCTGTTTATTTGTGTGGTTTTTCAAAAGTATAATTTTTTTTAAAGTATCACTATTTTAACCAAAAACTGATAAATACTGCAAAACAATCCTCAGTGTCACCAGCCATTCCTTAAATTTATGTCCTTGGCGTTGACTTAAAAAGTATACCTCATGTATTTTATTCTTAGTGTATTCAGAAAATTAATAATTGCTTCTCGAGCCTAGTTTTTCCTTGTTTACTCCTTTGATTTTTAGCCTCTCGAGTTGGAACACCATATTTTACGTGTATTTTTTCTTGCAGCTGCTTTCTGGACTCCTCCCTCTGCCCGTGCGCTCAGCTTGTTCTTGTTCTTCCCTTGTCTACCCCTCCTCCTCCATGCTACTGGCTTTTATTGTTTTTCTTTTCAGGAAGATGATTTATAAATAGCCTTATTATGATTCTAGTTTCTGTTGCATTCTTTTGAGGCACTTAGAGATTCTTTAGGGTATTACCAGGGCAAAGAAACCTATATACTGTTGAGATTTCATAGGCATTTCAGGGAGGTCTGGAATAGTGACAAACTGTAACCCAGTATATTCCTAAAAATAGGTGCAAACCTGAATTGGCATTTTTTTCCCTCTTCTTTTCATTGCAGCCAGTGATACGTCTCTTGATTATAATTTCTGGCGTCACTGTGGCCGGAATGCAGCTTCAGGGAGTAAGCACAAAGTAGTTCAGGGCATGTATGCACCCAGAAAGAGCGAAACACAGCAAATACACTCTTGCAGAAAAATAAGAAAATGTAGCAATACGATTAGTTCTGAGCATTTGTTAATTTCCCTGCTAACTAGAAAGTGATTTTCCAAATGTACAGCTATCCTTTGAAATTGTCTGAGCAACTCCCACAAGGAAGCAATAAAATTAATACTTGTGCAGCACATAACAATAGTTACTGATTCCTGTGCCTGTGATTCTATACATGTTTTTAATATGCTAATAATCATTGGTTTTAAATAACTGCCTTTCAAAAAGATCAGAATTTTGAAAGTTTGTTTTGTGTCTAACACAGTATTATATTCATGTAAGTTTTTAATCCATATACTGGGCAGTATGTGTTTAGTTTCATGTATTACAAATGGCAACTAATCTCAAATATAAGAAAAATCTTATCAAATTAAATATTCCAAAGAAGAAACGTGTTGTTGGAGTCAATTTCCCTACTTCAAATAGGTTGAAACAAGATTGTTGTCAAATCAGTTATAAAAATACTAATGAGAGTGTTTCTTTGTGATGCCTTTCGTTACACTAAAGTCTTCCTTAGAGTTAAGTTTTACCTTAGGTTTTGAAAGACAACTGACCCAGTTCCTTTTAAGTTGTACAAAAATTGCTTTAGCCAGCAGTGTTACTGTCTAACTCAAAGGTAAAGTTGACCTAGTAACTTAAGCTCAAGGCTAAAATCAGAAGCATCTACAACTAAATTAATGAATATTCTTCCATTTGCTTATTTGTGAAAAGAATATAGAATTTACTTCATAGTTACTTGAAGGTAATGAATTAGTGCTTGTAAAGTCCTTTGAATTAAAATTTTATCTGCCTTATCTAGAGTTTTAAAAATCTCTAAGCTCACATAATTGTCACCATGTTCCACAAACATGGATAAAGTTGAACTCTTAATCATAGTCAGTGTGAGTAATATTTTCATAATCTTTATAACTTTGTGATTTGTTGCAGTTGCTAAAGAGTGTTAGGTAATTTGCTCTATGACAAATGTATGGGTGCATGATTAGCAAGTATTAATGTTTATAAATAACATATTCATTTGTTTTCTAGGAATTCCAACGTTATTGTATGGCCTTGGCTCCTGGCTATTTGCAAGAGTCACAGAGACTGTGCATACCAGTTATGGACCAGTAACAGTTTATTTTCTAAATAAAGAAGATGAAGGTGCCATGTATTGAAAATTGTGCATCAGAGAACATAAATATCAGTGGATTTTGTCTTGTGTATATGTGCAATATTTATTTTCGATCCTTTAAAATAAAACTTTTGCAAACACCTTTTTTCTTTTCTATGGTGTCTGGTTCTTTAAGATGAATCATTGCCCTCAAGAGGCGAAGCTTTTCATACATTGTTATATATTGCATACTCTGTTTAGCTAATGGGAACTACAAACACATTAAGCTTCACACCAGTTTTTTTTTCCCTAGAGCTAGGTTAAACTACAGGTAAAAAATGATAACATATATAGATCCCATACTTAGGCATTAACAATTTAAATCAACTCCTTAAAGAGAAAATAAGGACAAACAAAGAAGATGGGGAAAATTTTTTCATATAACTTTGGAAAAAGAAGTAGAGGATACTAGGGTATATGGTAGAGATAATATGTCACTGGCAAATCCAAGATTGATGAGAATCTAATAGCAATCTGAAATCTAGACCATTCAGCTGCCAGGATTTTAAATGGTTTTAAGTGATTTAAAACCCTGTGCCATTTACCTGGATAAGAGGCCAGGTGTAATATTGAAACTTTTGTTGCTTAAAGAATCAAATACCATACTACTACTATTTTTTTTTTAATGTAATAATAATAACTCAGAGATTAAAGGCAGCACGGTGAATGAAATTAAAATGTATTAAGTTAAAATAGCATGCTGATAACGCTGTAAGAACAATTAAGATCTTCTAGAAAGACCCAAAAGGAAAATTCAGTAACTTTGGATGAGCAATTAGCTGAAATGGTACGTATCCATAAACTTACTGGGAATGGGGACTGGGCTGAAATTTCAGAGACCTGACAGCAGTTTTGTGTTAAGATTTTATTAAGTTAATTGCATTTTTGGAAGCAAAGTCATTAAAAAAATTTATCCTTGGGTGTAGTTACAAAATACCCAGATGAATGGTAAATTTCAGAAATTTGGAGTAATTTAGGGAGAACTAAGTAGAGCTATTTCTAAACCAATGGGTGTTTAAGATTTCTCTCTCCATAATTACAAACATACGTTACATGTCATTTTATGTTAATGTGTTGCTGATATTCTGCAACATTTACACATTTTTGTAGTGAACATTGTTACAAAATTCAATCTAACCAACATTTGGGTGCGTGCTTCTAGCAAGTCAGTAGAGAGGGACTGGAAGTGACTGAAATCACCAGAACAAGTCATACAAACTGGTTTCATTAAAGGTAGTCATTTTAAATGAGCTACATAGAGTGAACTGTTTTTCAAATATATGTAGTGTTCACTTGTCTAAAAGTAATTCTAAATAACACTTTAATCAAAAAAGTACTTACACCAATATATTTAGTCCAGAAGAATATACTTGACACTAGTTAAATGAATGGTTTACTCAAAGGAGATAGTGTTACATTAAGCTTCATTAATAATAAAACTGACTATTAGCATTTTGCAAGGAAGGCTAGAACTGATTTCCTCTGTAATGGGGAAAGTTAAATAACTATAGCTCATAAGTTTTAAGTCAAATACTGCTCATTCATTGCTGCTGGTCTTGTCAATACTTGCTGTAAAGGTTTGGTCCCAACACAAGGCTGATAAAATGGTTTTTAATTACCAGACTATACAGCTTTTCAGTAGAGTTGCTCCCCTTTTCACACTGGCCTGTTTGATTTCTGATAATTTGTGCTGCTGACTCTGCTTACCTGTTTTTCAATAGCAACAGTCAGTGTGACTTCTTGTCCATACAGTGAGAGTTAAATCTCCTTGGAGAACATCTTTGACAAACTACCCTATTGATCTCTGTAATTCTCTGCTGCTTGCAGCATTAAATAGAGCCTTGATTTCTTGTCTGATGTGCTGTGTAACAATTAAGCAAATGTAATATTTTCTTGTATTACATGAAAATCAATAGACCTCTTGCTCTCATGAAGTTGATCATGGTGAAGGATGAACTCAACGATGGCTAAGGGCATGGTTCAAATATTAAAATATCATTCACTGGATTTTTTAAGGTTTGTGGTGAACCTTTTAGTCTGAAAAATGCTCTCCACTGAACAGTAATGGTTTAAGTTTTTTTCTTTAAAGTTGGATATTACATCCAAGCATTGTGCTGGAAGTCCAGAGACTGATTCTGCTTATAGCATCAGTGTTGTCTTATTTTCGGACCAAAGTCTAATAACTACTGCTTTGTGTCCGAGTTTTTTCCAGCTGTAACTTCAGAAGAACAAAACAGGGAAACTTCTTTACCTTAAAATGTGTTGTGAATATGCTTGTAAGCAAACATCAGTTTTACTTTTATTCCAGTAAAAGCTCTATTTTTGTACTCCTTAATCTCCTCTGTTCCATACATATATATTTCTTGAAGGACTTCATTAACAAAAGGATTCCAAAAATAAGGTGAGGGGAGGAGAGAGAGATTGAAGTAATTTTGTGTGAGTGTGTCCCTGTACATGCCCATTATTCCTAAGGTAGCAAGAGGGGTTCCAAGTGGACCCTGCCCTTCTGGACATCAGGAATTTTCTTAGTTCATGAAACAACCACACACAGCTTTCCTGCCAATAATTATTTAATGGGATTTTGTCTTTAAAATAATCCGGGCAAAAACTGTTTTCTAAAGATTTGTTTTTAGTACAAAACCTTGCATCTCCTGTATAGTTATTTATGAGTCAACTATCAAGTGCTGGAATTTCTAGGCAAAACTCTTAGTTCCTTGTGTAAGTTGTGAACCACCATGAAAATGCAGTGACAGTTTCTCAGTGCTGATGTCTTAAGGTAGCAAACTGTGCAAATGGTTAAAATTTCTTCCATCGCACACAGTTGTCCACTAGTTTAATATTTTAGTAATTGTTGGATTCAGTAAAAGTTGAAACATTTAAAATTGTTAAAAACTATATTTCTTTCAAAATGTACATTTTTTCATATCATTTATATTTTCACTTGAAACTGTAAGCACCGAACATCTGTAATTCTTTGTGAAATATCTCTTATCTATTAAAGAATGAATGATATTTAAATGAGGATGATGACATACACTGCAAGGATCTTGGTTTCACTTCACTTAAAAGCTAATTCAGATAACAGAAACCGTATCCTAAAGCTCGTGGATCAAGTATCTACTTTTTTTCAGCACTTACCATTCAGACAGTAATGATGTTTGGAAGCATCTTAACCTAAACAAGTACTTAGCATTACATCTCACCTGGGTCAACAGTCTAGGGTATCAGAGTTAAACTGTGTTGCTGTAAATTAATGGAAAATGTAACTGCACTTTGCTGAAAGATCAATGTCCAATAAAGGCTGCACAATCAAATCTTGTTGCAATGATTGAGGTCTTTAATTTCCTTTCAAAGATAAGGTGGTAATCAACATAGCTTTAACTGATCTTTTTTACTAGTTCAATTACATGCTAATGACTGGTGCCAAGTCAGCATCTTTAACTACTTATACTTATTAAATCTTATGTTAGTAATGAAAAATTACTTAAGCTACACGATCAATAGAACACAAATCTTAATTACTATATTTCACTTTTATACCATTTTATGTGCTTGATAAATGTTTCAACAATAAGAGGTGTTATTAGCAGTGGCCACAGTCCAAACAGCATTTTTCTAATATAAATTGGAGATCAGTTGTTGGAGAGAATTTTTTTCTTTCACTGGAAATGTAGCTACAATAGTTTTCAGTAACACAAGCTTGGCCATCAAGTAGGTGTACTTCTAAAAGTTCAGTTATTTTTTTGGTAAAGAAACTGATTATAGAACCTACAAAATTCCCTTTTGGGCAAAGGATAAACATTAGTAAAGGCAAACCACAAAAGAAAAAATAGGTACGTTGGACTTCATTAATATTAAACATTTTTGTGTCAAGGTACACTGTCAAGAAAGTGAAAAGATAATCCACAGAATGGGAGAAAATATTTGCAAACCACGCATCTGATAAGGAGCTTGCATCCCAAATATACAAAGAACCCTTACAACTCAACAATAAGTTAACTCAATTGAAAAATGGATTTGAACAGATTTCTCCAAAGAAGCACATGAAAAGATGTTCAACATCTGTTTTGATCAAAGATTCTATAGAAGAATTCTTATCAAAAAGGGGAGAATGAAGACCAGAATTTCAAATTCTCATGGAATCCAGATTTTCTGGAGCTATGGAGGCTGAATGAACCCTGAAACTAGTTCCCTGAGATAATCTTTAAACCTTAAACCAAAAATATCCCCTGAAGTCTTCTCAAAACCAAACAATAGTTTAGCTTAACTAGTAAAGAATGTCTACCGTCAGCATTGAGCTCTTTTAAGATCTATTTATATGGGATCAAATTGACAACAGCAACTCAGAAGATAAGATGGGAAACTTAGGGGGCAATGAGTTTATGTTAATGGGAGATGAACAGTTTGGAAAAGGAGGTTGAGAATGGTTGCACAACTCAAAGGAGGGAATCCATGTCACTATTCTGAAGATGGTTGTGGTATTGGTTGTACTACTCTGTGAATATACTAAAAACCTTGAACTGTACAGTTCAAATGGGTGAATTGTATGCTTTGTGAATTATACCACAATAAAGCTGTTAAAAAATTACTACAGGATTCAATATTACTATAATGAAATATAACTGATTGCATGATTCCTTTAGAAAATAACTCATTTAGAAAAATATTAGAGATTAAAGTAATTAAACAAAACATATTACTTTAACATCATTTTATATGTTGCAGTGTTGGAATTTTTTAAATTTTAGTTATGTGACCTAGTTTTAATTAAGTAGATGAAATCTTATTTGGGATCATTTTTAGTAGCATTAAGAAAAGGATTACTTGGTTTGAAATTATTTAAGAAAAGAACAAAAGTAAAGCATGTAAAGTGTTAATATGCGAAAAACTCTCTTTTAGTTCCTACTTGCTGGATAAAGGATATCAGCTACTACTAGTATGAGGTTTTATATAGTATTGCTTATAGCTATTTTAGTTGCACTTACATCATTTTAAATACAGTTTATGAACATTGTACCACTCCATTATATTATTAATTTATCTTCAGTGATATTTATAGTATCAATTTAAAAGCTGTAAAACTTCATGAAAAGTAGCTTAAATGCAAGAATTTTGATAAGCAAAAGCTTTCAGTTTTTAAAAGCAGAATCATGGAAGCTATGCTTCCTAAAGAAATTTTGAAGTTTTGTTTTTTTTTTTGGTTGTTGATAGAATTATGAACCTTATAAACTCAGTATTTTTTAGTTAACCTAAATACATAAATCTGTTTGAATTCATCTTATGAAAAGAGATATGTCATTAGATATATGATCATTATATGCTTTAGTGATTCATGGACCTTGTTACATACATGCTTTGTAATGTATGAATTATTTAGTAAGAAAAATCACAATAATTTTGTTGTTACTCAAAAATTTATGGGTTGGCAGAAACAATTATGCAGCCCCTGAAGCTGGTATGTTAAGGTAACATTATTAACACTACATAGTATGCTTTTTTAGTAGTTATTTGACATAACCTTTACTGCTTCTACTAGAATATATCAGTAATTTTATAACAATCTGTCTGTAAACAGAACATTGAATTTATTAACCACAAAGTGATTCATTTTTCTCTATTTTCATATAAGTGCATAACTTAAAATCAGACTTAAAAAGTTATCCTCAACCCTAAAGGGATAAAATAAAAATACACAAAGTAAAAATAAATACTCTAGTAAATAGGTATAAATTAAAAACTCTATTTAGTGAAAGTGGACATTTTTAGTTCTAGAAACGCAGATGTTTAAGAATTGAATGAAAATAATGCATGAGGGTAGGAAATTATCTTGTAACCTTTTTTTTACACATGGTATTAAGGCCCTCAATGCAAGATAAGGGCCAAAATTTTAGTTTCTTAAGCTTTTAAATCTCCAAGTTCATAAAATAAAAGAACCAAGAATTTGAAAATTTGAAAAAAATCTAAATAGCGTCACTTAATTTTAGATCACATTTAAAAATTAACAGTCATTCATTTATCCAATAATTTTTGCACAGACCATGTTGAAGGCAAACTTTACGTGCCAACAAAATCTAGAAGTTCTGGATGTATATACAAGGTCCAGTAAGCCATATCGAAAACACTAATTCTAGATAAGAACCACATGTTATTAAATTTTGTCTTTCCAACACATGTCATATATAAAGGTTCTATGTTGAATGAATATGCAGTAAACCAAAATTTTTTAAAAAAGCCTTTGTTTTCTATAGCTTTAAGAGAAGGATACTTCAATTGGAGATCACATAGATTCTTTCTAAGAATAGCAACAACTTTTGAAATATTGTTTCAGAATTAATAAATTAACTTATTGAGTACACTGTTTAATGTATTCTGAAAAATGAAAGATTGGAATCTTGCAAGATATGCTTTTGAAGCATTTCAAAAGGTATCATGTATTTTCACATACAAGAATTTTGCAATTTTAAAAGAAACTTTAGAATGGTCAACTGATTTTCAGCAAGGGTGCTAAGTCTATCCAGTGGGGAAGGAAGAGTATCTTCAATAAATAGTGCCGGGAAAATTGGATTTCCACAAGCAGAAGAATAAATCAGGATCCAACCCTCACACCATACACAAAAAAACAAAATGGATCAATAACCTAAATGTGAAAAATAAAATCATAAAATTCTTAGAAGAAAATGTAGGGCTGAAGCTGTGGGACCTAGTTTTTAGCGATGGGCTATCAGATATGATGACAAAGCACAAGCAGCAGAAGACAAATCAGCTAAATGAGACTTCATAAAAATTCAATACTTCCGGGCATCAAAGGACTTTTTCAAAAAAGTGAAAAGACAGCCTACAGATTAGGAGAAAATTTTTGGAAACCATATATCCAATAAGGGTCTAATGTCCAAAATATTTTAAATACTTCTACAACTTAACAACAAAAAGACAAAGACCTACTCAAAAAATGGGCAAAGGACTTGAACAGGCATTTCAGCAAAGAGAATATTCAGATGGCCAACAAGCACATGAAAAGATGTTCAAAGTCATTAGCCATCGTTGTTGTTAGGTGCCGGGGAGTCAATTCTGACTCACAGCGACCCTATGTAGAACAGAACAAAATACTGCCCG